AAGTGATAAGAAGTAGCAGATGGGGTACAGTTGATGAAGAATTAGCAGGTGGAGTACAAGTGATAAGAAGTAGCAGATGGGGTACAGTTGATGAAGAATTAGCAGGTGGAGTACAAGTGATAAGAAGTAGCAGATGGGGTACAGTTGATAAGAAGTAGCAGATGGGGTACTGTTGATGAAGAATTAGCAAGTGGAGTACAGATAATAAGAAGTAGCAGATGGAGTACAGATAATAAGAAGTAGCAGGTGGAGTACAGATGATAAGAAGTAGCAGATGGGTACAGTTGATGAAGAATTAGCAGATGGGGTACAGTTGAAGAAGAATTAACAGGTGTAGTACAGATGATAAGAAGTAGCAGATGGGGTACAGTTCATGAAGAATTAGCAGGTGGAATACAGATGATAAGAAGCAGCATATGGGGTACAGATGATAAGAAGCAGCATATGGGGTACAGTTGATGAAGAACTAACAGGTGGAGTACAGATGATAAGAAGTAGCAGATGGGGTACAGTTGAAGAAGAGCTAGCAGATGGAGTACAGTTGATGAGGAGTACAAATGATAAAAATACTACCACTGAATCTGTTACTGATGGTGTAGTTTCTATGGAAACAGCCGACTTCACTCTCCTATTCTGAATGAAGAACAGAAATCCTGAACATTCTTATTGATACGATTGGAATATAAGTGGCTTACTTTCAGACCACTCAAATTACCTATTGGAAAATTTTAAAGCATTTATTTGATGGTAATTCAATTGGTTTTTCCAAATATCTTATGTTGATGGTCATCATTTAAAAACCAGTTTTCTAACTGAAGCAAAGTACACGTTGCTTTCAAAAGAGACACTGCAGCAAGTATGGAAAGTATTTAACCAGTTTCAAGTGAGATTATACATAGTAAAAGATGAGATTCTTGGGATCTGTCTTGTAACTGGTTCTTACATCATTCTAGTAGATGTTTCATTTTGGATTTTAGTGGATTCGGAATTACAGTTATTATTCGTGTAAATTACTAGTTATGTATTTTTTTATATCTAATTTGTAAACGTTGCCCAAACCTTAGTTACTGCCACTGTCTTCTGATAAAATGCCAAGATTCCTTGCAATATTTTTGCATTTAATAACCACTTCCTCTTGGACCAAATTGAAAGACATGGCGATAATGGCGAGGCCGAGAATTAAATAGAAGCAACAAATAATTAGCTTGGCCTGACCTTCTTGCTCTCGAGTATCAAAAATGGCGGTCCCAGGCACCAAGTCTCCAAAACCGATGGTGCTCAGCGTGATGAAACAGAAGTAGGCACCATTTAAAAAGCTCCAGTCCTCCCAGAGAGAAAATATTATAGCTCCTCCACAGATGTAGCCTGTAACCAATAGCAACACCAAACAGATGGGAACGCGATCTTCTATAGAGTGTCTATCCCCTCGAATGGTTCGTTCCAGAGTTACTACGTCAGCGGGTGACTGGCGATTCTGGGCATGTATAAGTACGTTATTGGCGAAAGAGGTATAATGTGATCTCAGAATTGGGTGCTGTCGATTTTCAGCTCCATCTGGCGTTACTACTTCGCCCGTCTGCTCGTGCATCGGACAGTCGTCTGATGAGGTATCCTCTTGTTCTACTGCCACCCGCGTGGCGTCTACAACGACATCTATGGTAGAAACTGGAGGTTTGTCTTCTTTCCTTCCATTGCTTGCCCTCTCTTTCGTCGAATAGTTATCTTCCGCTGCTTTTACGCCTCCCGTAGAGGTTATGCTCGTAAGATGAACACGAGGAGGCTGTTTTTGCCTACAGAGGGCGCAGCACACACGGGAATAGGCGAACTTAAACGAACGAGCTAGTAGATCCCCGATGTTAGTCAGACACAGGAGCATCAAGGGAATGCCAAAAAGAGCGTAGAAAATTGTCACCACTTTTCCAATATCAGTCTTTGGGGCGATGTTTCCATACCCTGGAAAAAAAGAATTAAATTTGAATGAGGTTTGAAAATTATATTTAAAAAAGTTAACTTAGTAGTAACGGAGCTTCCAACCAAAATATGAAGGGTTTACTTTTCTAGTTGACTTTGAAATTTTTTACTTAGCAGCATTTTTATGGAAACTTGATCCATTAAGTTAGTCCAATGGACAGTCTGTCCACCGCGGGAATAGAAACCCGGATTATAGCGTTGTAATTCCGTAAAAATACCACTACCCCAAGTGGGGGATCCAAGTGGTTTTAGCGTCTGAAAACTTTAAATAAAATTAGAATCGTGAAGATGATGTAACAGAAGCATCAGTACCGGGGGTGCTTTAGCACCCCACTTTTACATATATGACTTATATAGCAACTGTAGAACTCCCTACATTGAGCTGACTTTGGCAGCTCCTTATACTTTCAATCTCTCATTGTAAAATCTGTATGTCTGGCCAAGAACCCCCACTATTGTAAAATCTGTATGTCTGGCCAAGAACCCCCACTATTGTAAAATCTGCATGTCTGGCCAAGAACCCCCACTATTGTAAAATCTGTATGTCTGGCCAAGAACCCTCACTATTGTAAAATCTGCATGTCTGGCCAAGAACCTCCACTATTCTAAAATCTGTATGTCTGTTGTAATAAGCCCCTCGGTTGGCAAAGCGCATATAACCCGTTGAGTGGAGTTGCACCACGTCGGGCTATCTGCTGTATCCACCTAGGGGAATCGAAACCCTGATTTTAGCATTGTAAATCCGAAATCTTACCGCTGTATCACCGGAGGGGGGGGGGCATTTTTAATAGAGACAATTATTAGATACTTTGTATCTAAGACATTTTAAGGCTTAATCCAATAATAACAAAAAACACGATGACAAAATAGTTAAGCCAACTACGTTAGGGAGATTTTGTAAGATTTTACAACACTATTTCACACACAAAATAAAATAAAGACAAAATAAAAAATATTTAAAGTTATTAGTTGATTTCACGTTAGGGAACTAATACAGACTCCACATAGTGTGACTTTATGAATCAAGACAAATCACGCTCCACATTTTAAAGCTGTGGGTGCGATATAAGAGTGACGGTCAAATCCCATTATGCGATCATATAAGAGCCTGTGATGGCTGTTTTCCCTCTAGTCTATCATTTCGAAATCAGGAACGGTTATGCGCATACAGACGTTGTTTTTCTACAAACTACAAAATTACGATTATTTGTTTTCCCTTTTAAAGTTCAAAGTATCCTATCATGAACGAAGGCTTCTGTTCTGCGTGTGTATTCATTTAATTTTTACCCCCCAGCACAGTCTCTGGTGTCCAGATGCTTTGTAGGTTTATTTGGCTTCATTTTGTCATTAGCTACAAAAAACAAGCCCCCCCCCCAGTGGCACAGCGGTATGTCTGCAGACTTACAACGCTAGAAACCAGGTTTCGATACCCGTGGTGGGCAGAGCACAGATAGCCCATACGTATGCGTACATTATTATAAGTTCAGGTACAGCACGTATTGCTTGCTGTTTTACTTTGCCTTATACAAGTTTTTTTTGTTGTTGTTGTTGTTGTCACAGACACACGTACTTTCATTATACAAGGAGTTTCTTATCCCACGCCATAGGCGATGCATTATCTGGTCCGTTATTAATCACTACAATCAAAGCATCACTTGACGTTTACATCTCTCTCTCTCTCTCTCGTTCAATCTTTTTTTCTTTCTTACTTACTCGCCCCCTTCCCATTCCTCTCTCACGGAATTTTCTGACCCCCGCCCCACAATTTCAAATTACGCAGCGGGTTTTCGTCGATAATTCGATTTTTTTCTTTTTGTGGTGCATCGAAATAACTGGTCAGGAAACAGAAGATTAACAACTTGTCGTGTGTATTTTCTTCTTCTCACACCGGGGGGGGGGGGGGAACAAAAAGAAAATTCCTATACATATTCTAGAAGATGAAAGATCGGTACAGAAGCCGCATCAGGAGAGTTCATCTATCAGGACAGGACATTCCTAATGCGCCAGAAGTGCATGTGATTACTTTTCCAAAGTAAATTTTAAATTTACTGAAGCTTAATTTTTTTCTTGAATCAAAAAGCTAAGAACATAATTTTTTCTACCAACATGAGCTACCTTGTTGCTTCTTAAAGATTGTATATTCGATATATATATTTTTTTTGGCTTTGTCAGAAACGTTTGCTGCACGATTGATGTTAATATCTACATATAGTTACTTTCAAGATTCTTTGTTATAAAATTGGAAGTTGTTCAAATGTTAGACTTGGTTCTGAATGACGTATCAGCTATGTATAATCCT